AGGCAAAGTAAAACAACTTCATAAACACTGACCTCTAAGAAGTCACGATTATCAAGAAAGCTTCGAATATAAGTTATGATCTTTGCTCGGGTCTTAAATATGTACCGAATCTCTAAGTTCAGCATCAAATCCAAATAACGCTGTCTATATCGTGTTTCCTGGACGTAAAGAATAAATGAACCACAACACATCAGAGGCATAAAATCTTTTAAAAGGAAATAGGAAGAAAGCAAGGCAATTGACAAAAGAAACTTTATGAAGAAAATAAGAGGCATAAGATACCTGATCTTTCAAAACATATGTATCTGGATTTCGGCCACTTCCCGGGACCCATGCTTCAATTTTCTGCAGTACAATCAGATATCGTTCAATTAAACTGGTCTTAGACACAATGCAAAAAATACTTAGCTGACCTTAGTTGTATCCGTCTGGGCACCTTTCTGCCGTGGCATCATATGAAGACAATGAGATAACACTTTGAATGATTTGGGAAAAATACTCAGCTCTCCCCTTTTACTCTTTCCTGATGAATGAGGTAAGAAGAATTAGAAGGATATGTTACCAAAACAAAACATCAGTATTATCATCTTCTGCAGCATGGGATCTTTGCATAAACTACACCATGTCAAGAAAGATATTCACCTAGCAATTGTGGTGCAGACAATAGTATTCGAAGTGAGAAACTATAGCAACCCAGAATCCTAAACGCACGTAAACGCAAGAAAATGTTTTATATTTAACATTAATGCTGAAATGATATCCATTTATAGCTTTTTAATAGTCCTTTGAGTTCTTAAAAGAAGAAACTGTGTACAACTAAGTTATTCTAGTTATTGTTGGCCTATGACTGAAGTACAGCCGTGGAGTCAGAGTAAAGCAATACAGGATGCCACCATAATGACTTTTCTAAGATTCAGCGATTGCATGATAAGTTAACACCTTTTGTTTTCAGTACCTTTCCCCTACATTGATCTATGGTGCTTAAGCACGTGAAGGAGAAGTTAACACCTTTTGTTTTCAGTACCTTTCCCCTACATTGATCTATGGTGCTTAAGCACGTGAAGGAGTGATATTGAGATCAACTTTTCTCTTCCAACGAAACTTGTTTTTCTAACACCAAGACCAAAACTATCACAGAGAACATCTGCCATAAACTAAGAAGATCTAAAGAATCCCAAACCTGGACACCCAGTGATTCCGACAATATCTCCACGTTTCACACCAGAATGAAATTTAATAAAGTCGTCGTCCTCCAATTCAGAATCCCTGCACATACATCAAGACATAATACTTCTCAGCGATAAAAAGTAACTTGATCACTTAAGCAATTCAACAAACACAAGGGTCTTGAGACCAAAATTTCACAACAATGCACTGAAACTGTTGCTGATGCCACTGATTTCAGCCATGAAGTTTCAAACATGTTATAATCACATTTACAAAATTTTGGTTTATGCATTTCCTAGAGCTATAACCTATGGTACAAAAAGAAAAGGATAACAAAGATTAAATACCTCCCTTTGGCTCCAGCAGACTACTACTCCCAAAAGGCACCTACTAGGGTGTCTTGGCCATTTACAGCGTTCGTGTTATAGATTCAAAGAAATATAAAGAACAATTATGATGCCCCGAAGTTATGAGTAGACAACAGATGCTGTAATTTTTCTAGGATGATTAAAGGAGATTTATATAAAGAAGGAGGAATATCTCCCCATAATACTGACTGACCAATAGACAGCATACAATAGTGTACCACGAAGTCCTTTAATGATGATGAAGAAGAAAGTATTCATCTGAAATATATTGTATGTAGAACTGAGCACAATGGAAGCCCATTCACCTATTCCTGGCATAAATTAAACCCAGAAAACAGTAAAATGATAAGAGTAATATAACCACCTTGCACTTGCCATAACTTGAACTTTGGCACCTCCACCATGTAAATCATAGAAAAGCAGCTTTGCAGAAGAGGCACGTTTATTCATTATCCTTCCTGCACAAAAAAACACAATTATAGATGCAGGCTTTTTTTTAAATAAGCAAATTGCTGTAATATTTACCAGCCAACGACACTTCATCAGCGGAATGAGCTCCACTTTCTAAAACTCCATATTTCTTCACATAATCAGGGATAGACAACAATTCCAATTCGACTTCGAATTTGTGTGGGTAAGGATTCTCCCCTGTTGCCTTCTCAGCCTCGAGTGCTTTCAGCCTATTTTCAAAGTATTGCTGCAAACCAAACCCACAATAAATTAATTTCAAGAATCTGGGATGTGCTTTATTGGGAAATAATTTTCTCGGAAATGTCATTTTTTAAACTGTTTTGCTCACTTTAAATTATGAAAATATCCCAAAAGAAAAAACTTGACAAATATCCCACCTCTTACTCTTTAACAATCTAACACTTCAAACACTATTGTCCACTTTTAATACTGGAAAAATATCACGAAAAAATCCCTGTATCCTTATCATTCTTATAAACTAACAAACATTACCTATTTTTATCCCAAAAAAAAATCTAAAACATTTTTTTCTGAAAATAAAATACTGCATAACCAAAAACCAAAAAGTTAATAGAAAAGGGGAAATGGAGTCACCGTTGGATCCATGTCCTCATCACCGGCTGCAGCATGCTTTTGAGACTGAGTGCTTGGCTTGTTTTCAGATTTCCCCTTGTTTTCAGATTTCCCCTTGTTTTCAGACTTCCCCTTCTTTTCAGACTTCCCCTTGTTTTCAGATTTCGCCTTGTTTTCTGGGTTCTCCATTTTGACTCCGACGAGAAGAATAAAACCCTAGTTGACGGCGCCGGAGCAGACGAATTGTGTGCTGAAGTATAGGGTAACTGTGAATAAAGAGAGTGTTGAGCCGAAACAGAGTACGTTAAATGGGGATATGGTTTTATGGAGGCTAGGGTTTAAACGATTGGTACTTGAGCAGCACGTCTTTTTAATAAATTAAAAATTAAATTATTCTTACACTAATAAAATATGTTGACGACAAAAATTAACGGTCTCGGGTAACAACGTACAAAAATTAACGGTAAAAATTTACAATTCAGGAAACCGTTTCGAGATAAAATTTTAAACGCTATATAATTCTTTATAGAAGTCTTATTTGGAAGGGACGTTGGTGTATCTACAATGATTTTTATGTTTAAGTCTACTAGTCTTGAGGTACCGTGTGTCAATCAATATATAAATTTTAAAAATTACGTAAATATTATTAAATAATGTGTTTTTTGTTATTGAACAAGTATTAGAGAAAAAAAATGTAAGTTCCTAAAATAACGAAGGTTAATCTCACTAAATAAAGAAATTCTCCACATAAGTTTTTATATGCTCTTATTATGATTTATGAGGCGTGAAATATCTTATGAAAATTATTGTTCTCTTTGTTACCAAATACTATAAGCAAATAACACAAAAGATACCTTTACCACAATTATTCAAAGATAACAAAGCAACTTGAACAATTTGAATCTTTTGGTATTTTAGAAATTTGTGAGTGATGAGGTAGAACTCCCATCTTTCTTTCTCATAGAAAATTACTAATAAATAACAATAAAAGTTTTAACTAACTAATGTTGAATTACAAAAATATATAATACTATATTAAAAAATATAGGGAATTGTCATTTATTGGAATGAATATACAAAGAAAGAAAAATGATAACGACACTTCTTTTGAATACATTTTATCTTATGTCACACCCTTAATTAATGCTTCAACTTAACATGTTTAGCAATCTAATTTTTAATACTATATTATTAATGGATTTTGCTCTATTTTCTTATTTCTTTCACGACTGATGCTTACATAATGATTTTGAAAATTATTGAATTGATTTTTTTTTGCTAATTTATTAATTCAAGGACTTAATTATTTGTTGAGATTTCATGCTTTTAAGATAGTATAGAAGATTCTCTATATTTCGTCAATCAACTCTTATTAGTCCCTTATACTTGAGTAGGTAAATCTGCAAAACTAGTGTAAATTTTGTTGTTCGTTGAATTTAAGCTCAAAGCTACTAACTTGTCTATTACTTGATTTGTTTCCTTGTAGCAATGTTTCAAGATAGAGCCACTTTGGTTCAACATACTCTTCAGCTTCCGCACTTCATTCTTGATTTTCCATTGGATATGATTATAACCATTAATGTTGTCTCCTAGTAGCTTGGAGTCATTATGTGCTCTATGTGTTGAAATTCACTATCGAGACACCATGAGATCCCATATCAAAGGGCTACTGCTTCTCCTAGTTACTAGTACTCACTCCCAATGCAGTGAGTAGGTTGCAATTAGGTAGCTTTTGTTGTCTCTAAATGTTAGCTTGAATTTTGTACAAGCTATGGAAGATTCAAAGAGATAGGAACCCTAGATGAAAGAGAGAAGAAGAGAGAGACGAAGATGAGAGAATGAGTCGGTCCATTCTATTTTGACCAATCTGCCTTAATAATTGTTTGTGTGGGTCTGTATATACGTGTTAGTTGAATTGAAAGATAAAAAAAATATTGACAACCTAAGATACAAAGAATACAAGTAAATTGGGTTGCCTCTCTTAATGGGTCTGCTGCTTTCCTTTATCAGCTTGGGTCGGAGACACATCTGGGTTAACACACACACACACCTGAAGGGTGAGAATACATCAAGCTTGCAGAGAATCCCATGATGTAGAGGACCAGAAAGAGCCTTAGTCATAGTATCAGCCAATTGTTATGCGCCGGAGACAAACTGCAAAGAAATCAACCCAGAGTTTAGACAAGTGCGCATATAATGACAATCAATTTCAATGTGCTTCGTGCATTCATGTAAGACTGGATTTATAGCAATGTAGGGAGTTGCCTGACTGTCATAAAATATGGGAACAGGGCTGGATATAGGCAGACCAAGACCACCCAGGAGCCTAGTTAATCAAGTGACTTCAGCTGTAACTTTGTGAAAAGCCCTATACTCAGCTTCTGCTGAAGACAGAGATATAGTGGGTTATTTCTTGCTCTTTCAATAAACAAGGCTGCCACCAAGGGTAATGTAATATCCAGTCACTGACTTGCGAGAGATGGAGCAAGCTGCCCAATCAAAATCAGAATAGGCTTGCAAAGAGAAATCAGAAGAATTGGAGATGAGGATACCCTGGGCAGGGTCATTCATCAGATATCCGAGCACATGTATAGCAGCTAGCATGTGAGGCACTTGTGGCTTTTGAAGAAATTGACTTGAATATTGCATTGAGAATGAAATATCAGGCCTGGTGTATTGGAGGAAATTGAGCTTCCCAATTAATCTTCTATACAAGCTAGGGTCAGAAACATGAGCACACATATCTAATACAAGCTTGACAGAGGGATCCAAAGGAGTCATCACAGGGGAGAAGTGTTGGCAATTAAATTCAGATAGAAGATCAGTGGTGAACTTGTGTTGGCACATGATATATCCTTGAGAATGTAGGAAGATCTCCAAACCCAGGAAGTAGTGGACTATCCCCAAGTCCTTAATTTTAAACTATGCATCTAAAAGGGACTTTAAGGACGCCATCTCCACAATATCATTACCAGCTAGTAAGATATCATCAACATACATAGACAATACTACTTGAGTGCCTGAAGAAGACTTAGTGAATAGGGAGTAGTCATTCATACTAGCAATGTAACCTTTTGAATGTAGAGTTTCAGGCAGTTTTGAAAACCGCTGTCTGGAGGCCTGCCTAAGGCCATAAAGAGACTTCTTGAGTCTGCAAACCAAAGGGCCAGAATCAGGAGAAGCACACACTTCAAGACCAGGAGGAACCTTCATATAAACCTCCTCATGAAAATCATCATGGAGGAAAGTATTGTTCACATCAAGTTGGAAAACAGTCCATCCCCACTTAACAACAAGGGTGAGCAAACACTTGATGGTGGTGAGCTTGATAACAGGATAGAAGGTCTCAGTTAAGTCAATGCCCTCCTTTTATGTGTCCCCTCTAATCATTAACCTGGCTTTATACCTCTCAATAGAGCCATCATCTCTTTGTTTGATCTTATGTGTGCCACTTACAAGGGATAACCTTCTTGTGAGGTGGGAGAGGTACAATATCCCAGGTATGATTTGCCTCAAGTGCTTGAAATTCCTTTAGCATTGCCTCTTACCATGCAGGATATGAAGCTGTCTGCTGGTAGAACTAAGGCCCATGCACATGGATATCACTAGAAGAAACCTTGGAAGAAGGTAAAAGAGAATAAGGGAATTGAGTAGAAGAGCAAAGGTAATCCTTAAGATAAGTGGGTTGTTATACAGTTCTGGTAGATTTCCTCAAAGGAGGAGGAGAGGGATTTGTAGGAGCAATTGGAGAAGTAGAAACAGAAGTATTAGAATCAGAAGGTAAGATGTTAGAAGGAGAAGCGGTAGGAGGAGGAGGAGTGTTAGAATTGGGAGCATTAAGAGGAGTAGAAGTGTTAGGAAAAGAAGTGTTAAGATAATTAGAGGTGGGAACATAAGTAGTTGGTGGAGTGATAGAATCCATAAATTCTTTGGGAGAAGGAAACATAGAAGGAGAAGTGGATTTATAAGGAAAAAACATGCTCATGAAACACTACATCCCTTGAGAAAAATATGGCATGATTGTCAAGGTTGGGGAGTTTGTAGCCCTTTTTTACCACAGGGGTACCCCAGAAAAACAGAAGTGATAGACCTGGATTGAAACTTATCTCTACCAATCTTAGGGGAAGTAGCAAAACATAAGTAACCAAAAGATTTCAGATGGTCATAAGTTGGAGTAGTGTGATGAAGTTTCTCATAAGGAAAAATATTCTGAAGTATAGTTGAGGGCATTATGTTTATGAGGTAGGTTGCAATCAATACACAATCTCCCCAATATTTGAGGGGAAGATTAGATTGGAACATGAGTGCCCTAGAAACTTCCAACAAATGCTTGTGTTTTCTTTCTACAACTCCATTATGTTGAGGAGTGTGAGGGATTGTAGTTTGATGTAAGATCCCTTGGCTAGAGAAGAACATAATGGCCTTATAACTACTACCAAATTCAAAGGCATTATCATATCTAAAAGCTTAGACAAATGACTGAAAATGTACCCTAATCATGTTGACAAAAGCTTTAAGAATAGATAGGGCATCGATCTTACAAGATAAAAGATAAGTCCAAGTGACTCTTATATGATCATCAACTAATGTTAGAAAATATCTAAAACCATTATATGTTGTAGTGTTGTATGGACCCCAAATATCAATGTGAATTAACTGAAAAGGGGCAGAAGAATATATAACACTGTCAAAGAAAGGTAATCTCTATTGTCTGACCATTGGACATATAGGACATATAAAAGAGTGTTTAGATGATACTCTATTAGACAAATATGATACATATCTCATTTTATTAAAATGCATGTGTCCCAGTCTTTAATGATAAAATAAGTCCATTTTATTGATAGAATATGGTATATTACAAGTTGAAACATTGACAACAAGATGAGTAAGTTGATTGGACTTATCAGAAGATACTGGTAATGAAACAAGTATAGAAGATTGATTACAAGCAGGAATACTAGCATCAGACTTAGAAACAGGTAAAGTATTACAAGGAGAACAATGAGACATAGAAGTAGATGAAGTAGGATACAGGTTTGCATCTGGATGGAGGTAGCAGAGCCTACCTGCAGCTTTACCAATTTCCAGTGGCCTCTTTAGAGAAGGGACCTGTAAAGAACAAAATAATTTGGTAAAAAGTTCTGAACAATCCAGTTGAGATATAAGTTGGTGGACAAATATCAAGTTAAAGTGAAAGGATGGTACACTGAGGACATTCAGTAAAATTATATCATGTCTAAGATGCAATGATCCAGTTGATATAACTTTAACTTTATATCCATTAGGTAGAGTTACCAGAAAAGGTTTAAACAAAGGTTGCACATTGAATAAAAGGTGTTTATGTGGTGTCATATGATTAGTTGCACATGTATCTAGGATCCAAGGATTTACACCTAATTGTGATGATGCACATGTATGAGAATCAATAGAAGCTACATCATATCTGCTAAACAAACCTACAAAGTGAGCAAAAGAAGAGTTGTCCACATTTGTAGCTTCAGAAGTATGACCAGCAAACATTTGAGCTTGTTGAAACAAGGTCAAAAGATGTTGGTATTGTTCTTTGGTGAACCCATGTGCTGAGGAGTTAGAAGTTTGTGGAAAGGAGTTTGCAGGGACAACTATTGAATTCTCAGCTTGAGCACATAAGGCAGACTTCTTATTTCTGGCAAAATTTGAAATTTGGTGGAAATCCATAGAGTTTGTAGCACGTATCCACACTATGATCAGGTTTCTTGCAGTACTTGCAAGTAAAAGATGTAGTACCCTTCCTTGTCTCAAAATTGAATTTCTGAGTGAAGTTCCTATTAGTGCTGGAGGATGCAGGAGAAACTAGGAAGGAGGTTGTACCACTAGAGAAATTTGGTGCAGGAGATTGGGCTTCCCTTTGGCTTTCATCTTGTTGCAAGAGTGAGTAGGCTTTACTGATGGGTGGAAAGGGGTTCATCAACATAATAACACTTTTGACTGTGGAATAAGAATCATTTAGACCATTAAGGTACTGAAATAACTGTTGATCTTCAATGAATTTAGGCAGGGCCCCACAAGAACAAACAAGCCTTACATAAGAGGAGTTTAATTCATCCCATAAACTCCTCATTTTTGTGAAGTAGGAAGCTATATCAGATGAACCTTGAGTGGTTGAGTTAATTTCCCTCTGGATTTTAATGTACTTAGAGCCATTCGAGTGACCAAATCTTTCATTGATGTCCTTCCAGACTTCCTTGGCAGTCTTCAAGCACATAACACTAGTGGCTATTTCCCTATATACAAAATTTGTTATCCAGGCTTTGACCATATCATTACACCGTTCCCAATATGGAAAATAAGGTGATTTCGGGGAGACAAGTGAGCATATTACTACGTCAAAGATCAAACCCACACCCACTGAACGACACAGATACTAATTGACTGCCAAGATTGTCAAATGGGTGGATATAGAAAGGGTGAGAAGGGTCTAGGGTAAATGGAGCAAAACCGTTGATGGTAGATGAAGGTACATCATTGTCCGTGAGGCTACCCATAGTATGGAGTACAAAAATAGCCAAATACTAGAGATAAACGAAGGTTCACACTAAATTTTCAGGCAAAATCAAAGACCGGCAGGAGCATCGAACAAGTACCGAAATTGACAGTGTTTTTAAAGAAAAATACCATTAGAGTAAAGCTTATAACGAGAGGAATCGAGATTCCTCCTCTGATACCATGTTAGCTTGAATTGTGTTCGAGTTATGGATGATTCAAAGAGAAAGGAACCCTATATAAAAGAGAGAAGAAGAGAGAGACGAAGATGAGAGAATGAGTCGGTCCATTCTATTTTGACTGATCTGCCTTATTAGTTGTTCATGGTGTTGCTATTTATCCTATGAGTATTGTTATGATACTAATATTGTCTCCCTTTTTGTCCTTTTGTCTTTGTTTTTTTTGAGCCGAGGGTCTCTCGGAAACAGCCTCTCTACTCTTTCGGGGTAGGGGTAAGGTCTGCGTACACACTACCCTCCCCAGACCCCATTAATGGGATTTTACTGGGTTGTTGTTGTTGTTGTTGCCTTATTAGTTGTTCATGTGGGCATGTATATACATGTGTTAATTGAATTGCAAGATAGAAAAATATCTACAGCCTAAGATACAAAGAATACAAGTAAATTGGGCCGCCTCTCTTAATGGGCATGCTGCTTTCCTTTATCAGCTTGGGCCTGAGACACGTCTGGGTTAACACTAACTACGCCACCTCCTCCATAATTATCATTCTTGTAACTTTCATCAGATGTAATTTAACAAAAGGGGGATGAGTTTTAGTCAAATAGTATAAATAGTTTTTTTCTTAAATGGTGTATGATAAGGAATTAGAAATCTCACCCTGGCTAAGGCAACTAACTGGGACAGATTAAAAGCTATCATCGAAATTGATCTTTTAATATTTGATCTCTCAGTGCCGCACTTGACACCACATCTTGACCTCCATACCTCCCAAGTGATGATAGTAGTGAGGCACTTGGTAATAAGGTTATCAACTAGATTGTGAGACTTGTATCTCAATCGGTAAATGAAGACTTGTGTATAATGAACATTCATGAATTGAATACCAAAAGGACCATAAGTTATCCTCTATAATGTTTTAGTAAAATTACAACTACAAAACAAGTGATCAATGGATTCATACCCAGATGTTCTGCAACAACACCTAGAGGTGATAATAATCTCTATTTTGGTGATCCTGTCATCAGTAAGCAACTTATCTCTCAAGGGTCTCCATGGATGGAGTATTTCGGGATATTCATGCAAAACGAAACCTACATCAAGTCTTATTACAAAAATGTGGAAGGTCAAATAAGGAATCAAATATAAGAGGTTATAAAGAATTAAAAAGGGAGATTGTTGGTTCCCCAAGTGCACGTGCAAGTATACGTGGTCAACAAGTAATATAATAATAAGTAGAGTGTCGAATCCACAATGACTTGTGTTTAACTACCAACTAATTTCACTCAAATTGTTATTCAGTCGAGTTAATCAAAGTTGAATGGTGTGATTATAACTAAGCATAAATTATAATAATTAACTAGTTTAGCAAGAAGAAAATGATTGTTGGTAATGTAGTAGTAGTAGTAGAGATAAATATTCCAGGGTTGTGATCGATTCACCAGTCCTATTGTGTTCTAATTAACTCTCATTTTCATGCAATTCGCTTATGCTTGCTAATTAATCGAGAAATTGCTCTCGTAGCATTCTCCTGAATTACTACTCGCCTATTCAAAATAGATTAACATCTATATTCCTATGGAATCAATCTATCAAGAACGCATTAAGATCCCCATATTAAATTTAGCATGGTGATTAGGTATACTCGTATCCTAGCCACAAATTCGCCTCCCATATCAGAGAAGATAATTCTCTCTTTAGTTCTTCTCTAATCTAGACGTAACTTTCCCAAGCATAGCATAAATAGTAAATAGAACTCAACTACTAACCAAACAGTTAAGCAATTAAACACAGAAATGAAGAAACAACCATGTATTAGCGAATTATAATCAAGAAAAAGTCAACATCGAACAAAAATATTCATGGCTAAATCATAATCCAAAACTAATGGGTCTTAACCATTCATGATAATGGTAAACAATTTCACAAGTGTTGAATTTTTGAAAATACTAAGAAAGTTGAAGAAAATTTGAGAATCATTGCTCCCGAGTGTTCCGTGCTTATGTTTTCATCTCAAAGTGGAGTCTCCCTCTCCAAAATCGGTTTATACTTCTTTTTATATGAGTTGGGGGCGTGTAGGGACGAAAAACTTTGTCCTGAGCGAAATAAGAGGCTTTCCCGCCACCCAGCGTATAGGACAACGCGTCGCGCTAGCCCTACGTTGAGTTATGTCAAAATATTTGGAGGCCTTTTTGCTCCAAATCGTGCACTTTCGTCTCACATTGCTTCCGGGTGACTCCTACACATAAAAAAACTATGAATTAGCATAAATCATTATATTACAAATATGAAAGTCATGAAATATGAGTAAAATGCGAGGCGGTATGCATAACATATGCTTTAAGACAAATATCAACATTCCACACTTAGACTCTTGCTCGCTCTCGAGCAATGTACCTCTCAACTACACCCCAACAACTTACACATCAACTATGGAGGAACAATTCATTTTCAACCATACACTTTATCCTTGACTATGGTAGATACCGACAATTAAGCATAAGCGCACGAAATTCACATTCTTCCCGTTTTCAATATGTCAAAGTATATGAGTTTCAATTCAACCAATTCAAACAACCTACCATAACCACCTTGCCTCAAGAGCCGACTAGTTACTACTAAGCACCATCAACTCGCGCAATCACCCAACGAGAGAATTTAACAATATTACCAATCTGTCATGAGACTATGTGTCCTCACCAACAAACAAGAGAGTGAATATAAAAGTAGTCCACACATTCAAGTATAACTTTGAACATAGTTTAAGGACATCACACAATTGAAGAAAAATCACTCACTCTCACAAAGACGTTCATGTGCATCCTATGGTCGTATCATAGGCTTGCTCGTAGTGTATATCTCTGTTAATCTAAGCTAGCCAATTCTATGATCAATTAGGTCTTTTCGGGTTGTAATGTAGGCTAAGGGACGAGTAGGATAATTTTGGATATTAGTGCCTAACCCTCCTAAGTACTTTAATACACTACACTCAACATTTAAGTCCACATTCTTCTCAACCAATTCACTTTGCCACAAACCATACACATATAACCCTTTTTCATTTAAGCACTTTTATATCCCCACTAGCATGAATTAGGAAGAATAAGAGTTTTTTTTTAGTATTCACATTATTCATATTTCTTCCTTGTAATTTTTTCTTTTTTCTTCTCCACACACTCCTTACATTAAGGTTCATCGGCTAGTGGCCTTTTTATAACTTTAGTGCACCTTGTGGGCCCTTTCATGGTTCCACTCAAAAGCTACTTCCCAATATCTCACCTCACTTCTTTTAGTGATTATGTGCCTTCGGAGGTAAAGGTTCAACAAGCATAAGTTAAGAACAAAAATAGAGATACAACTTGTAATGTGGGTGCCAAGGGAATGGTCTACGGGCTCAAAGGGGTTAACAACAGAAAAAAATTATTTGGAAGTGACAAATACATCCATGATCAAGCAAAGAATTGTCTACGTCATCTCCTAGACTAGTACAACTTAATGATTTTGCTTCGATTAACAAATAGGGCAAGTTTTAGACTACATAAGTGTAACGACCCGACCGGTCATTTTAAGCATTTATGCTCCTTTCAACTATTTTAAGTATTGAATAACTTCCTACGAGGTATTATGACTTGTGTAAATTATCGGTTTGGTTTTAAGGTACTTCGGAGTTAGCTTGGAAGAATGAATTTTATGTTGGAAGCTTAAGTTAAAACAGTTGACTGGATGTCGACTTATGTGTAAACGACCTAGGAACGGAGTTTTGACAATTCCAATAGCTCCATATGGTGATTTTGAACTTAGGAGCGTGTCCGGAATATGATTTGGAGGTCCGTGGTAGAATTAGGCTTGAATTGGCAAAATTGAAAATTTGGCGATTTCGGTCGATAGTGGAAAACAAATTTGATATCGGGGTCGGAATGGAATTATGGAAGTTGGAGTAGGTTCGTAGTGTCATTTGTGATGTGTGTGCAAAATTTGAGGTCATTCGGACGTGGTTTGGTTAGTTTCGGCATCAGGTGTCGAATTTGGAAATTTAGAAGTTCTTAGGCTTGAATCTGAGGATGATTTGGCGTTTGGATGTTGTTTTGAGTGATTCGAAGGTTCAACTAAGTTTGTATGTTGATATATGACTTATTTGAATTATTGGTTGAGGTCCCGAGGGGCTCGGAATGATTTCGGATGGGTATCGAGAAGTTTGGAAGTTGGAAATTTCACAAGACTAAAGTTTCAAGTGAGTTCGCGCAAGACCCAACTTTGAACGATAATATATCTCTCTCTATATATATATGGATTTATGTGATGATCTACCTATCAAATGAAAGATCTTCGAGTCTACTTTCCAACGCTTCAAACTGTTCGTCATTCGGACATTCCTACAAGAAGTTATGATCAAATACCCAAAGGCTATCATGTAGCTCGCTACAGAGCTCGCAAGGCCATGTCTGTAGCCTGGTCCGGGATGTTTGGAGTATCCATTCTTTTATTGTTATAACCCGACCCAACTTCGATAAATAAGCCTTGAAGCTCATTTTGGAGCAAAAAAATCTGATATTTTTAGAGAGAAGGGGGAGTGTTCTAGAGAGAGGAAGAAGCTCAAGTACTTACCCCTAGTCTTCAATTTCGAGTTTGGATAAAGATGGATGATTAAGAGTATGATTCTTGGGTGTAATAATATCATTTATACATATCAATAAGGATTATGGAAAGATTGTTGAGTCCAAATGGATATAGATTGGGTTGAAAATGGTAGAAATCTTCAAAGACTTTAATTGAAGGTTTGAGGGTCGAGTTGATGTCGGAATTTGGTAAAATTTATATGGTTGGACTCGTGGTTGGATGGGTGTTCATATTTTGTAACTTTTGTCGGGTTCCGAGATGTGGGACCCACGGGCGATTTTTGAGTTAATTTCGGATTTTATTGGAAAAATTAGTATTTCCTTATGGAATTAATTACAATAATTGGTATTGATTGAATCGAATTACGTATGACCAGATTCGAGTCGTTGGAGACCAATTCACGAGGAAAGGAAATTTTGGAATAAGAATTTTACGGGTTGAGGTAAGTAACAGTTTTAAATCTGGTCCTGAGGGTGTGAAACCCCGGATTTTGGTATCATGTGATTATTTTTGGAGGTGACGCACATGCTAGGTGACGGGCGTGTGGGCGTGCACCGAGGGGATTGTGACTTGGTCCGTCCCGTAGCAACTATAAAGTTGAATATTTTATGGAAATTATATGATACTTATATATTTTAGAAATAATTTCTGTAAATTGGGCTGAATGCCATGTTTGGGCCTTGCGCCAGTGTTGTTTGGACCCTTAGGGGCTTTTTCTTACTATTCTCTCATTGTTTTCGATTGAAAATACTCAGTCATATTTATACTTGTTTACCGCATAACTCAGTTTTTGTGACTCTAATTTTGATGCATATAAATGTTTTGGGCCGAATGCCCTATTTTACTAAAATGCCCGAGTGTCTTGAGAGGTTTATGACTGAGTGAGGCCGAGGGACTGATTGTGAGGATATTTTTTGGGATCGGGCTACACGCCGTAGCAGGCCATGTTGGCTTTATATATATTATATTATTGCACGTGAGTTGGCCGTGCAGATCTATATATTATACTATTGCACGTGAGTTGGCCATGCGGATCCAGATATAATTATAGCACGTGAGTTGGCCGTGCGGATCCAGATATTATTATTGCACGTGAATTGGCCGTGCGGATCCTTATATTATTATTGCACGTGAGTTGGTCGTGCAACACGTGAGTTGGCTGTGCAGAACCAGATATTTATATTATGGCACGTGAGTTGTCCGTGCTTATAGCGCTTGGGCTGTAGGAGCCCCTCATGAGTCTGTACACCCCCAGTGAGCGCGGGTACCCATTGAGTGAGGGCTGGGAGCCCATTGAGTGATGAGGGTTGGGAGCCTAGTGAGTGATTGTTATTCTGAGAGGTTGTACTTTAATTCCATTTGTTGTTGCATTTAGTTGCTATCTGTCATTGTTGTGAAATCTCTGAAAGATTGTTGATATACGGATTACATGAATAGGAACTGTATAAAAATTGATTTGACATTAAACTGCTAGATTTGATAGCATGTCTGTTCTTCGCTGGGATTACTGGAAATGAACCATAACTGTGTAGCTCGTTACTATCCTCAGTTCCTTACTTATTATTGTTACTTGCTGAGTTGGCTGTACTTATACTACACCCTGCACTTCGTGTACAGATCCAGGTATTCTCGGACATAGCGGGTGTTGATTCTCCCGTACAGCTGATTCTTCGGAGATTCAGAGGTAGTTGTCGTATTTCGCAAACCTTGTCTCTCCTGCCCTATCTCTGTATTACTATAATTTTTGATCTTAGACTATTGTAGACGATACTTTCCCAGATTTGTATTCATATTAGATGCTCATGTACTCAGTGACACCAGGTTTTGGGGAGTGTTCGTATTTGTATTTGGGAGATTTTGTATTGTATTTAAATATTATATTCCCAAACTTAAAAGAAATTGTGGTTTAGTGACATTAACGGCTTGCCTAGTATCGAGATAGGCCCCATCACGATGGGTGAAATTTTGGGTCGTGACAATAAGATAGCAAGAATATCATCACACACACATTGCACATGACTTAATCAAGACGGGTTTGTTCAACTCTCAAGTCAAGCGCAAGCACACCAATTGAGAATTTTAAGCAATAATGCACTAAATGACATACGAGTCACGCAACTGAGAAAAGGCATCACAGAATAGGCTATTCATTTCACTTAGGCATCACAATTCAAATCAAATACAACAGGAAGATAGAGTGCATGCCATAACCTAAATGTACTAGCACCAAACAAGTCAACATGTATCTAAAGCAACTCAGTTTTCTTCCCATCCTACTCCTAAGAAGATAAACAGAAATACACAGTTCAAGCTACACCCCTTGGAAAAGAACTAGTGCCCAAAACAAAACCAAGAAAATTATTCCCTAACTATCCTAATAAAAATAAAATAAAATCTTTTTAGTGTTTTAATCGGACCTTCATCGCTCAAGAAAGTTGTTCAAGAGATCCACCGTCAGGAAAAGTCTGAGCTTTTCTGATTTTTTTTTTCCTTTTCATTTTTTTACATTCAATAATTATCTACTACTCTAGGCCAAAGTACTACTAACTACGAGTTAACCCAAAAAATAATAATGATGACAAAGTTTATATAATTACACTACACAGAAAGTAATTTCCCACCCCACACTTATGTCATGCATAATCCTCGATGCATATAAGAAATAAAAAAAGGTTGGGTGAGAAGAAAAACTCCATGCTAATCTGACCCATCCGGGTCATACTTTGAACCAACATCATCGGAATGCCCACCAGCTGAAGCTCCGGGCTCATTATCATCTGCACCAAGCGGTACCAAAGCCATCGGGCCCGTGACCTCAGTATCAACATCACCCTCATTATGATCCTTTGTTTGTGTTGTCATCTTCAAATGGGTGAATGAGACTACCAGACGCAATCCCGAACATCTCTTTCGAAGCACCAAACAACTCAGTGCGCAACTGCGTCCACTTCTTATCAGTCACTCAAATTCGGCTCATCATCAAATTCATCGACCCATAGATATATCTGTTAAAGTTTTCCTCATGCTCATTCCGAGCCGCTGGATGATAATTGAGGATTTTGACTACTTATTAGCGCCTTTTAGCTTTTGTTTTCGTCAAAAAACATTGAATTGCGTTTCCAAAACTAATAAAATTGTGTGAAATTGCAGGAATTGGAAGTTGGTCTCCCGAGATGAAATCCGACTAAAAAAGGAGTAGTCCGAAGCACAAGGCAATAAAGGGCGCAAACACACAAATGTGCGGTCCGTAGAAGGAATTACGCGGTCGCAAAAGAAATTGTGGACTGCAGAATTCCATTTGCGGTCGCAAACCAAGAGGAAGAATTTAGTAGAAATGTGCGCAAAGTGCGGATCGCTTATGAATTGTGCGGCTGCAAAGCTGGACTAAGAGTGAAAGATCAGATAGTATGCAAAAAGACCAAGTCCAGGAGCCTTTGTGAATTGCGGACCACACAAGAATTGTGCGGCCATAGAAGAGTTGCCTTCCAGCCACAATCCAAATTGTGCGGACCACAAAAGATTTGCCTTGCGGCCGTAACCTAGAAATGTGCGGCCACAGAAGATTGCTTCACGACCGCAGTTCAGAATTGTGCGGCCGCAGAACTCCACTTCATGCTAGATGAAGAAATCTACGGACCGCACATGGAATTGTGCGGCCGCAGAACCTCCCGAGGGGTATTTTTGTCTGAGATTTTCACCCTTGTATAAATAGACGAGTTTCACAAAATTAGGTCAAGTTTTGAATATCTGAAGTTGTTGTAGCCGTTTTTATTACTACTTTAGGAAGTCTTACTTTGCTTTGTGTATTTATATTAGATTTAATCATTTTAAGCTTCCATTATGAGTTTAATTAGTTTTTCTTCCTTACTTTCTTCAAATTCCATTATGAGTAGCTAGACTTTTACTAGAGTTGTGACCCAACCCTAGTGTGTAAACCTTATGGGTATCTAATTTAGTACTTGTTTATGATTGGGTGTTGATTATTTAGATGAGTTCATGCTTTAATTGTAGAATTAATGGTTGCAAACATTAGTTCATACATATTTGACTTAGTCTCTACTTGAGAAAGAGGGACCTAGTCTAGGATAACTTAGCTAACAATGAATTGGGTCAATTAAGAGATTGATGAACCCAATTAAAGGGTTCAACCTAGAGATAGTAATAACCCGACTTGAGCTCTTATCAACTGTTTTGGTTGATACCCATTTGGTCTTGAGAAAGCTAAATTAGGCAAAACCACTCCCTAACTGAGAGGTATTGGGTGGGTAATGTAGAGTTGAGAGCTATAATATACCCCAATCAACAAAACACGCATTAACTTTTTTATCCCATTAGGCAAACACCTAGGTTATGTTCATAGCCCTAAGCCTTTTACCCATTTGGAAAAACCTAAAAACAATTATCTCTAGTCTATTTTCTTTATCTTGCAATGATTATTAATAGTAGAAATAGAAAACAAATCCCTATTATGGAAGTGCAATTTAGATAATCTAATTGCTCATTTGAAATATATACCCCCTAACTCCCATCTTAGCTCATAGTGGATTCGACCCCGACTCCTAGTAGGGTATTTATTACTGCATACGACCGTTTCATATCTCTATTGAGGTGTGCTTTGGACGTGATCAATTTTTGGCGTCGTTGTTGGGGAGTTAAAAACTGTGTTAGCTATATATTTGGGTGTGTTTTTGGAATATCTTCTTTTCCTTCTGTGTTACTAACTTGTTTGAGAAATCGTAGGTACAACCATATCAAACAATGAGCTCGGAAATATTGCTTTGGGGGATGTGGACGTCGAGCATGAGCAAGTTGATGAGGTTTCTCTTGAACCTTAAGCCAATATAAGAGGTTGTGTGCCTCATGACAATGTCCCCATTCCACCCCCACCTCTACCACGAGTGGCTTCACACCGGGTGTTACCTAATGAAGGGTATGCTGGTGCAACAGTCCCTCCCCGTATTAGGGTGTGCAACTTTCAAATCACCAATGTGATGCTCACTTTTCTAGAGCAATGAAGTTTCTTCACCGGTGCTTCAAGTCAAAATGCATACAAACATTTGAAGGGGTTTGTGGACACTTGTTGGGGGAGCAAACAAACAAATGTCTCCAAGGATGCATTGAGGCTAAGGCTTTTTCCCTCCTCTCTATGGGGAAAAGATTTAGATTTGTTGGAACATTTTCCAAACCAATCCATTCACACTAGGGATGAGTTGGCGGAAAAGTTTATTTCTAAGTTCTTCTCTCTGGGGCACATGACTACACTTCGAGGTGAGATTTTGGCATTCAAGCAAGAGCCAAATGAACCACTACATGAGATATGTGAACGGTATAGAAAAATGGTTAAGGAATGTCCCAACAACGATATGATGGAGAATATGATTCAACAAACTTTATATCGTGGGATTAACACAACCAACCAATATGTAGTGAATCAACTTGCTGATGGGAACTTCATGACTACGCCTTATGCAGAGGCATGTGATATATTAGATAAAATGGTGGAAACATCATCGATATATCAATCCCGGGCTAATGTTCCACAAGGTGATCCGAAAGTGATCCACCTTCACAAAGAGTTGCATGACCATGGGCAAGCCATTGCCAAATTGACTACCACCATGAATGAATTAGCAAAGGCTCAACTTCAACAAGTGCAAAATCCTAAGCAAGTCAATGCCATGAAGGGAGTGAACATGATAGTGAACAAAAGAAGGACCAAGGGTCCGCAAGTCCAACATCGAGTGGAGAATTATGTGCAAGAGGATAGTGGTTTTAATCAAGATGATTCTTACAATGAACAAGAAGAGGAGGTGCAATATATGAACAACTTTCAAGGGTAACGAAACAACTTCCAAGGCTCGAACCAACAACAATGGCGACCTCATAACAATCAAGGCAATTGAAATTCTAACAACTAAGGAAATTGGAGTGGTGGCAACAATCACNCAAGGCAATCGGGGGTGGGGTTTCTAAAGGCCCTCGATGTATCAACAACCGGGCAACCCGCCTCCTTATCCTTCCCATGGTCCAAGTTCTTTAAATAATGAGATGGGGTGTACTGAAAACATGTTCAAGCAAATTATGGAAAAGAATGCCGATTCGGATGCCCAACTTGCCTCCCACAACACATTGATCCGCAACTTAGAAGTTCAAATGGGAAAAATCTCTCAAGCTCTAAATTCTCGTCCTAAGGGGGCACTACCAAGTGACATGGTAGTAAACCCAAAGGGTGGAAACAACACGGGCATGCCATGGCCTTTACTACAAGAAGTGGAAGATGTGGGAATGTACCCACCTCAAGTCAAAAACAACTTGTGGATGATGAGCAAGTGGTGCAAGAAGAAGAGGTCCTGAACAATGTGGTATAATCAAATGATAAAGCTCGGATCGATATTGATGATGGTGTGGAAGAGACTCAAGAGAAGGTGAACATGTATAAGGATAACATTATTAACATACCAGAGCCGGTAGTACAACATGCTAAGGCACAATTGCCTAAGCCTCCGCCTCCATACACTCAAAGACTTACCAAGCAAAATGGCAAGAATCAATTCAAATATTTCATTCAAATGATGAAGAGTTTCTCAATCAATGTGCCATTTGTTGAAGCTTTGGAACAAATCCCCAGATATGCAAAGTTTATGAAGGATCTCGTGACAAAGAAATGGTTAATGAATTTTGAAACTATCAAAGTCACTCATCAAGTGAGTGCATTTGTGCATTCAATGGCTCCTAAGTTAGAGAATCTCGGTGCTTTCACGATTCCTTGTACAATTGGAAGTGCCAAGTTTTCCAAAGCACTTTGTGATCTTGGGGCAAGCATCAATTTGATGCCCTATTCGGTTTTCAAGACCTTGGGAATTGGGCAACCAAGACCCACCTCTATGAGATTGCAAATGGCCGATCGAACTATGAAGAGACCTTTGGGAGTGATTGACGATGTCTTGGGTCATGTTGATAAATTCTTTCTTCTGGAATATTTTGTCATTCTAGATTGTGAAATTGATTATGAGGTGCCGATTATTCTTGGAAGGCCTTTTCTTGCTAAAAGTAAGGCTCTTGTGATGTTGAAGCCGGAGAACTCACTTTCCGGGTTGGTGATAAAAAATGGTGTTCCATGTGTGTAAGTCCATACGTCAACCAAATAGCAATGAGGTGTGCTCTTTTGTGGACTTGGTGACCGATGTTATTGTTGATGACACAAGTGCTATGATCAATGTTAGTGATATGTTGGAGGCCGTCTTGCTCAACTTTGATGATGACGAGATGGATGGCTTCATGGAATGTGTGAACTCTTTGCAAGGAATGGGTTCGTACAATTATGCACCCCGGAAATTATCTTTGGATCTTGAAAATATGAAAAATCTTCCTACAAAGCCTTCCATTGAAGAGCCGCCTACCTTGGAGTTGAAGCCATTGCCTCCACATCTTCGGTATGAATTTCTTGGCCCTTGTTCTACTTTACCAGTTATTCTCTCCTCTTGTTTGACTAACATGCAGGTAGATTCTTCATTGACGGTGCTAAAAAGAGTAAGAAGGATATTGGGTGGACATTGGCGATATTCGGGGGATAAGCCCCACATTTGGCATGTATAAGATCAACTTGGAGGAAGGCGCCAAACCATCTATTGAAGATCAAAGGAGACTCAATGAGGCTATGCATGAAGTTGCTAAAAAGGATATTATCAAGTAGTTGGATGTCGGGGTTGTGTACCCTATTTCCTATAGTTCGTGTACTTCTCCGGTTCAATGTATCCTGAAGAACGGGGTATGATGGTGGTCACAAATAACAAGAATGAGTTGATTCCTACAAGAACGGTGACCGGTTGGAGAGTGTGTATAGACTATCGCAAGCTCAACAA